CCGGCCTGTCACGACATCTGATCGGAACAAACCAGACATGCTTAGCTTCTGGGTGTTTTTCCCAAAAACGATATGCTTCGTAGTGACACAAATGCAAACCATTCTTTTACTCTGATACACTTTTACCTGATGGCTGTTTGTATTGCTATAAGCTTATCCTAAGAATTGCTTTTAAAGAAGTTTTTGAGGCAGCTTAGCAAGGCCGGAAGAAGAGATCCTCTGAAGCCCTGTGGCACATTTCTCTTTATTTCTGTTATTTCCACATCTCAACGCTTTTAAACAAAACTGTGGGCACAAGTACATGTATCCTGGTGTGACTTGGCTGTAATTTTGCCTTTTAACAAACTCCAAACCTGAGGCATAGGGAAAATAAGATTAACAGTTTGCTGGTGTTTTAAACATTATGGGAAGGAAGTTACTTAAAATTTTTCCTACTAGATGATCTTTTGGTTTGTTTCTTTGGGGGTTTGTTTGTTTGTTTGGGGGTTTGTTTGGGGTTTTTTTAAACTGAATTTATACTGAAATGTAAATATTTGTGTCCAATTTCTCTCAGCTAAAGTGTGGGAAAGTTTTAGACAGATTTGTAGTATGGTTATCGAGGTGGGTCTGGAAGCTAACTTTGGTTACACCTGTTCAAAAACTGAGCGAAGCTTTGTTTACTCAATAAGCCAAAAGCCTCTCAAGAGTCTCTCACGTGAAGAGTGGCAAAGTGAGCAGTTAATCATTTGCTTAACCTCTAGAAATTAGCTGCTTAGCTCCTGAAGTAAGAACTAAAGTAGGAAAAAAGATATCTTGCCTGACTGTTCCTCACCCAATCTCGTCTTCACTTGAATCAGTTCTTCCTGTTTCCCTGACCGCTAAGGCTGTGTTGCTTGCAGCCTTTTCTTTATCCTATAGTGATCTTTGCATGACAGGGGAGTTTTCCAGAGAAGAGGGGTGCTTTGAAACTGGACTACTTTTCTTTATGAAGCCAGAGCTTTTTTTTTTCTTCTTTCTTTCTTTCTTTTTAAAGGAGACAGTTCTACCTGATCAGGATGTGTTTTCCTACTGCCCAAGGTACTAGGAAAATCATGGAAGGAAGTCCAAGGGGTGTGCACAAAACTTGATTTGATCTCTTCCACTTGTGTCCTTTTAAGAGCCTGCAAATACAAATCCTGCTTAGCCGCAGTAGAGACAATGTTGATAACACCTGCAACTGTGTCTTGGCTAGAAACTAAATTGCAAAGAAATTATCAGGAAAGATGTTATCTTTGTTGTTTTTTATAGCTATTTCCCAGGCTGGGTGTGATTTAAGGGATAAAAGCAAACTATTCCCATATTTGGTGCTTTTGGGATTATCCAATCCTTTATAGGACACACAGTGCTCATCAGGTGACAGGCGCAACAAAAAGATAGGTGTTTAACGTGTGTAGCAAACTGGGAAGGAAGAAGCAGGTCTAGGGGACTAGTGGTGTCCCTTTCTGTCACACGGTATCTTACATTAGAACTTGGGCTGGGTACTGCCTAGGCCAAGTGTTACCAACACATGAACTCTGTGATCTTCGACCTGAGCAGGGTGATGGCCATGTATGGTTCCCATTAGCAAGCCTAGGTTTGAACGTCCTCCCTGTGTTAAGAGACTGTTTCCAGAGTCATAGACAGACTGCAAAATGGGTTGGAAGTGGTTTGTGTATATGTTAATATATAAGCAAATTTATGTTGTTAAATGCTCATTAGTCAATTCAGATTTTGAAGAGTTTTTCCTGGGGGAATTCTGCTGACTGATTTTTTTCTTTTCTGCCATTAGACTTCCGCCTGGCTCTTATTCAGCTTCATGTATCTGCTGTTAAATCAGACAATCTTCAACGAGCCTGTGGACTGGTGAGAGAAGCATCAGCTAAAGGAGCAAAAGTTGTGGCTCTACCTGTGAGTAAAGATCATGGTCTGCTTTGCACCTACACCTCAGACCCTTGGAAACCTTTTTCTAGTGTTACTAATGCACTATATATTCCTGTTTCTCTCTGGATAGCTTAGGTGCCAAATTAGGAAAATTAAGAAAAAACCCAGGGGTTTTCTCTAGCAGCACACTTAAGAGGGGGGAAAACAAGAAGCCAAAAAAAGAGGAAAAGCAGGTTGTCTTTTTTGTGGTATAAGATTATGGTTAAGTTCTTGCCAGTTTAAACCCGAGGTAATTCCATCATTGGTATGTTCTGAATTCACAAAAGTGACAACTGTGGTTTGAATCTTTGCAGAAGCCTTCTGTGCTAGAAAAGTAGGAAAAGGTGATTTTCTGCTAAAGAATGCTGATGTGAAGATGAAATAATACAGGTATACAGTGACTCTCTTTGCCATAATCATTCCAGATTATATAGAACATGAGAAACAAAATAGACTTAAGACATTTCCAGTAGGTCATTTGTGGCTGAATTATGATTAAAATGCATTTCTCTTGTGACTTACTTGTGTGAGAACATAGCCACTTAAAATTACTGATCAGTTCTGATATATTTTTTGGACTTCAGCCATGATTGCCATGCTGAATTTTTACACAGATGAGTGTGCTGGCAACGAGGTGACCTTCCCAGTGCAGCTTTGAGCTTTTTTCCTCTTTCCTGGGGGGTATGCATGTTACCCCTGTATGCTGCAGCATCTGACTCAGGAGTGCAAAGTTCTCCTCTGGGTGAACTTTTGGTCTGAACGTTTTACACACAGAATGTTTTCCCTCCTGCTGTCACAGGCAAAGTATTAAGCAACCTTCCCAGCTCCTCTGTGCTAACACAGCTCTTGTGTTGCAAATGTGACCTTTGATTATTCTGGCTGGGCCTCCTACATTGAGATTATCTATTATTTGCTTGTTTCATCATATGTATGAACATTCAGTTTTCCAGACCTATTTAGTTGAGATACTCACTTTGCCAATGATAATTTATGCTTTTAGAGTAAAACTTATCAAACAAGAGCAAGGTTTTTCCCAGACTTTTGGGAGGTAAATTTTGTACTGGCATTAGGATGTGGGCATGAAATATTCTCTCTCCTCTTTTTTTTTAGTCACACTACGTAAAGAACAGAAGTAACTTGCACTGACTATATATCTACACCTCTGCAGAGGCATATGGCAGTTTTCCTGAGACATGTTAGCCTTGATGTCCTAAACTTTTTTTCATTTCTGAACCAGGAAAAATGTGTGAGAGAAAAACAATTTGTAATGTTTATGGAGGAAGAAATAAAACCAGAATCCATTTGAATCTAGAGACTGATAGAAAGCAATTCAAGGATCTGTCCCTGTATTCTTACCACTTTGGAGAGCCCAGGACTAGGTGATCTGTGCAGCCTGCAGTTTTGTTCCATCAACAGCCCCACGCGCTGCTACCGCAAGCTTGCGCAGAGCTCTGCCTGTTCTCTTGAGTTCATGGTTGCGGTACCACCCGCATTGACACTGCAAGCAGCAAGATGAAGGTGGAGGCAGCTGGCATTGCTTTTGTTTCCTTGAAGTTCAGTCCCACTTTCAAAAGCCTGGGAAGCTGGTTTGACAGCCTGCAGAGACTTCCCTTCCTGCCTTCTCCATCTACAAATTGTGCTGTGGGTTACCTGGCACCTGCTAGCCCAGTGTCTGTATACGGGGCAAAAACAGCCATCCAGTTTTGGTTCAGTTATTCCAGTTAGTAGAATCTACTACAGTTGTTAAGAAGTTTGCTTGAGCAGTTAAGGCATAAATGTTTGTTGTGCTAATTCACAGCTTGACTAATTCTTTTTTTTTTCTTTTTTTTTTTTTAGGGAGTAGGGGGGGAGGGGAGTGTCTTGTTACGACTTCCAGTGAGCAAACGTAACAATCAAGGCAGATGCTTGGGCTGGGAATGGCTTGCGGAAGAGTAGGTGCTGGTACTGTTTGACAGCCTATCTGTGGCCTTCAGCTGTACTCCTTTAGGGGACAAAAAAGTGTTGGGGGACGTGTCTCACATCCTCACAGAGGTGGCAAATACAACGCAGAGTAAAAGTTCTGGATATCTTGGGCATCTCAAATACCCCTAGCTACCTAGTTTAGGCATCTAAACTGTGCTGTTAATCTTACTGTCTAAAGATTGCATGCCTGATTCTGAGGGGTAGCAAATCTTTAACTAGAGCCTAGGACAGAAGACACTGTTCGGTTGTGAGGAAATGGTGTTTAAAGGATTGTTTTAGCAAAAGAATAAGTAACTTTGAGAAATGCATGCTTTTGCAAAGGTCCTTTTAAAAATGTGTGGATGAGCACACGCATTTCACAGTTTTTAGAGGATCTATTTAGCTTGTACCTTGTCAAGTGAGCTAAGTGGAACTTGGTCCATTGTTCTGATGAGAACATCCCTTGTGATCTTGCTGAGCCTAGACTGATAAATGTGCTAGCCTTGTGACTTGCAGCTTGCATGATACTGCTCGTTCATGTTCTGTTTGGCATGCATTCACACCAACACACCCACTGCATTTTCTCTGACTTCCTGATATTTTCTGATTTGCTTATTGAGCTCCTGTAAACTAAACACCTGTAACTAAAGATTGTATGAGAACATTGATAGAGAGGAGTTTGAAAGGTCAAGTACATCTCCTTGCAGTGGTGTCACTGGATTTTAACATAATTTCTTTTTTTTCTAATTCTAGGAGTGCTTTAATTCTCCGTATGGAACCCAATACTTTAAGGAGTATGCAGAGAAGATCCCTGGGGAATCAACACAAAAGCTCTCAGAAGTTGCAAAGGAGTGCAGCATATATCTCATTGGAGGTAGTTTACTCTTAATGACCATCTCACTGAGGGAAATATGGGCAATGTCTATTAGTGCCATTGGATCAAAATTCCATATAATACACTGGGGGAAATCTCTGTTCTTGCCTCCACAAAGGATCCATTCCAGAAGAGGATGGTGGAAAGCTGTATAATACGTGTACTGTCTTTGGGCCTGATGGTGCTATGTTGGCAAAGCATAGGAAGGTAACATTGTTATTAAAAGGTTTCTTAGCAGTGTTGCATGAATTATTTCATCTGTGCCTAAAGGTGATGTGAATTAGTAGAATCTTGCCTTAATAATAAGCTGTGTACTGTCAGTAAAGTTGCATGTCATTTTTATTTGGGACATGTTAACACCTCTTCCAAAGGTGGTCGTAGATTTGTTTTGGATAAGGATAACAAAATGCATAATTGGCTTTTCCCAGATGCTGAGAAAACTGTTGTAAAGAGTAAATCCTGATCCAGCTCATCTGTGTACCTTGGTCTAGGCCTAAAGCATAGTGCTACTGAAGTGGGATCAGGATTTTCCCTCAGGTTCCCAATAGATTTAGTTCTTCTGTTATCATAAATACTGTTCTTTACATACTTTGTGTGCTATATGTATGATTAGTGCAGACAACCAAAGTCCAAGTTCCATAGTTGCTGTGTCTGTTGTTTGTGGTAGATGCTTGCTTACTGTTGTCTTCCACCTGGACATTGCTTTGTGCCTTCTGAGCAGCTACCTCCTATCCATAACTGTAGGGTGTAGTCTCTGTTAATCTGACTGTGCATACAGGTATCGTTCATTCAGTGAACAACAGCTTAATTTTTTCAAGGAAAAAGGAAAAAGAGAATGCAAGATTACTTGGAAGAAATGAGGTGGTGCAAAATACCTCTAGGGTGCAGGTATTAATTTATTCTGTTAATTGATTTTACACTTAGCTACACTATTAGGTCACTTTCTGAAGTACTATGTGGCCTTCCATCCATCATAGCCCACCAGTCTGCAAGCCCACTAGTTGTTTTTAGAATGAGTGCAGGCTCGTACTGTGTAAACATGAATGAACAATAGTATTAAAATAGCTGTATTATTAGGGAACTCCAGCCAGGAACAGAATCTTCCCATTGCAAGGGAGGGATAAAGACTATCTGCAGGGCCTAAGAGGCATCTGCATAGCTGAAGTCGTGGAACTTTATGACTTGGTGAAGGTATTTTCTGGAGAAGTTTTGCAGGAATGGGACTCAAATCTTAGAAAGGAAAATATCATCTGCTTTAACATACTTTAAAATCATCCTGACAAATTCAAGATATTTTAATGTATTCTTTCTTTTGCAAAATTACTCATTAGATCAAGATCTAGCTATTTCGCAGGGATTCTTTCCGTGAAGAAGATATAGAACCATACTACAAATTGTTATATTTTTAACCATTTTAAACAACTCTCTATTACTGCATGGGAGAAGGACAGGGCATTCTATTTGGTAAGCAACATAAACACTTGATTTGTGCATCACTTAGGTCACAGGGATTATATGTGTTGCTTAAAATGGCCAGTCTCCCCCCCACCCCACCACTTAGACATGTATATTTCTGTAAAGAAGAAAACTGCTTTAAATCATCTTTAGGAGATGTCACAATCTTAAACAATGTTTAGTTGGGATCCTGACAAAAGAGTAGTCTAGATAACGGTAGCTAGAAAACATGTGCCTAATAGAAAGAAGCTGAAATATCAAGCAGAGAAATTGTTATTAATTGTTATTAATCATACTATAATTCCAGGTTCATTTGTTTGACATTAATATTCCTGGGAAGATACAATTCAAGGAGTCTGAAACACTGAGTGCAGGGAATAGTTTCTCCGTGTTTGACACTCGTGAGTATAAGAGAAGCCCTCTCTTCATAACACTACAGTCATTTTGGAGTTCTCTTCCTCTTCCTCCCCAGCAATGGATTTTTAGACTATTGCATTTATATTAGGCATTTGACAACCATGGCAAATATAGTTTAAGTTTGTTCTAAGTGCATGGATCACTTCTGAAACTTGTAAAAAGGCAACATGATTGCAAAAGGACAGAGGAGTAGAAAGGGTTGAAGCATACATCATGGCACTTCCCTTAATAAATAGTGGTCCTATTGATTTGTTAAAAAGAAGCTACTGTATTTTTTTATAGCAATTATATCTTTAAAATGGTTCTTGTAAAACATGGCTTGGAAAAGAACGGGTGTAGCAAACAGCTACACTGGCACATTGTTTCATGTTTGGTTGATATAAGAATGGAGACAATTAACTGTAAATCCCATTCCAATATTTTTCAGTCAACCACATCAGATAAAAAAGCAAGACACCTGCTCCCCTCCTGCCCCTCCCCAGTGTTCAGAAGTTAACATGTCCCATTTACTGAGCTCTCCAAAGAGTCTCGTCTTCATGGTCACTTTTTCCTCTTTGCAATGTGCATGCTGTAAGAAAGTACATGACTGTAGTTTCTTTAGTCTGTGAAGAGCAGCGAGTGCTTTCTTTTCTTGAAAATAATTGAAAAACCTGCAGCTAAATCAGAGAGGAATACATTACACAAAGACCTGATATAACACGATTTTGTGGAAATGGCTGTTTTTAAAGGGTAGATAAGACTGCTTCTCATAGTCTTCCTCTCATCCTGAAGCATGAATTCTCCCCCACAAATAGCCAGTGCTTGTTACAGATAAGGATACACAGTTAAATATAGCTCCTCTTGATACTGTGAGACATGTAAAAAAAACAGCTGGCAGGTTGGCTACAGGGAGTCTTGTGGTTGCTTTTGTGTACTTGTGATAGTGATACGACTGTTGTCTCTTGTGTTTTGAGAACAGCATACTGCAAAGTGGGCCTGGGCATCTGCTATGACATCAGATTTGCTGAGATGGCTCAAATCTACGGACAGAAAGGTGAGGCTGGGTCACCTCCTGGAGCATGGTTAGCGCTAAGGCCATTCCAGGGTGGTATGTACTGCGTGATCAGGCACTCTTATCCTTGCCCGGTAACACATAATGCATCCTGTGGCCAAGACTTTGTTATTCAAATGAGTGTCTGTTCTCCTTGAGTAAAGTAACAATCATTTCCTGATACACGTTTGCTGATAGAGATGGGTATATCCCCACACTTTGTAACGTAACCCAGGGCTTTGCTGATGTAAGTCATCACCCGTGTCATGCATGGACAGGCTCCATTTGGTTCCATTTTGGGAGAGGTCAAGCACTACTGAAAGAAAACTTGCCTTGAGTCTCAATGTGAAGGGCTGCACTAGGGTAAACCATGTTCCCCTTAATGATGGTTGGGTTCTCATTTTCCTTCCAACAAAGGCTGCCAGCTGCTGATATATCCAGGGGCTTTTAACCTGACAACAGGACCAGCTCATTGGGAACTGCTACAAAGGGGACGGTAAGAACGAAGCAAAGGCTTACCCCTCTGTTCCAGAGGCAGTTCGAGCGAACAGAACCGAACTGTTCTTGTGTTCCCAATGACACTACACATCTGAAGGGGTGCTGCAGGGCCACTCTGCTGTTGGAGCTGCACCATTCCTCAAGCCTTGCATGGGACATCGAAATGATTTTGCTGTCAAGGAGAAAAGCAGGAAATGTTTATCCTTTTACTTCTGCCAGCCCCCCACCCGCAGTTACTCCCTTTCAAGGACCTTTTCCCCATGGCTCTGTAAGCATCCTTCACACACAAACTTCTAGACAGAAGAGCTGATAATCATTTGAGAACTGCTCTAGTTACAGATAGAAATAGACCCAGAGATTCCTGAATGCAGTATTATTTATTCATTTGGTCAGCTTCAATCAACTTTGCTACATACTGAATGAACATGTAATTCATTCTACCCACTAACGCTGGAGATTTCTCTTTCCGACTGCTTTCTCTGACCTTCATATCACTTACAATTTTGGCTAGTCCTTGGGAGGATATATATTTGCCTTTCAGAGTGAATGCTTTCTCTTCTGCTTAGTTAACTGGTGGTATATAAAAACAATTCTCACTTTTTCCCTCTTCCTTCCCTCATCTTTCTGCAAACACAGAGCTGTTGATAATCAAGTTTACGTAGCTGCCGTATCTCCTGCTAGAGATGAAAAAGCATCGTATGTTGCCTGGGGACACAGCACTGTAGTAAATCCATGGTGAGTTCAGAAGAAAAAAACAAACGCACCTTTTCTTGGTTAAAAAATATTTTACTTGACAGTCACATTTCCCATGTTTCCATCTAATCTTTAAAATGTCGTAAGTTCTTGGTAAAAACCACCTGAGACTTAAGTCTACCTTCTCAAAATCATCCTTTAAAACTGTCTGACGGAAAAACAAGACAGAAACTAAAACTAGTTTAACAGTATGTATTCTTTTTGGTAGCAAAGAAGCTACTTTTAGTATTTAGCGTTAGTTAAGCTGCTGTTTCAACTTGTCCCTGAAGTTCAGGCCATTATATACTCTGCATTATGGTAAGTCTCTGTGCAGAACTGAACTGTCTAAAACAGCTTACACAAAACTATTTCATTTCCTCAAAGAACACCACTGCTTTGACCTAAGAAAGAACAAGAAGAATGTCTTCAGCTAGGTAACAGACACATTCTGACTTGAGCAGAAGTCACACAGGTACACAGGAGGCAAAAGCAACCAAATCTTCAGGCAGTTGTTTTTCCTTCAAATAAATCCACGGTAGTTCTCTTCCAGATGACTGCAAAGTAAGAAAAGCTTTATCTATGTTTTGAGCCTTTCAGCTTTGTATGATGAAAGCAGTGACAGAACACCTAGTGGGAGACACGGCAAATACTGTTCAGTAGGTCATGCAGAGTACAAACGTACTCCTATTAAAGGGCAGGAGGATCTGAAAGGAGAAAGCGTTGGTCTTTGCCTTATACGGTTGTCCCTGGTGAAGTTCTTTCTTTCCCCTTGAGGTCTATTGCATGCTCACATGCACTGGTTCTCATAGTTGCTCTTACCATGATTCTTGATCTTCAGAAACATACTTAAGTATGTATGTCACATACAAAATGTGCCACATGTAAAGCCTGGAAGCCATTTTTATCATGCCAGAGTTATGAATTATACTGCTGTTTTTAGGACAGACCTGTCTTTATTGCTGTAGACACCAAGGATAGGAACTCCCTTGTGTACAAACAGCAGCAACTGGACTGATGCCTCGACGCCTCCCTGTTAATACTGTGAACAAATGTGCTTCATTTTGCAGGGGTGAAGTCATAGCCAAAGCTGGGGCTGAGGAAACAGTTATATACACAGATAAAGGTAAGGGGAAAGGGTTTTCTGTTTGTTTTTTTTTTTTTTTTTCCTGCTTTCTTTCTTGAGTACAGGTCATGAGACTAAGAAGAGACAAGCTTTTTTAATTGCACATGCAATTACAGATGATGCAGTGTTCCCATCCCTTCTCCACCTTTGCTAGATTAAAGCAAGCAGCAGCAGCACTTGACTATACTCTTCCAGTTTCCTTACTTACGAGGAAGCTGCCACCTTTGGAAAGAGCAAAGCTGAGGCTTCCTTCAGCCCTGGCTGCTCAGTTGCAGTGCCCTACAGACCTGTTCTCCATGGAAGCTGCTCAGAGCAAGTCAGGAGATTACCTTTTTGACTGCTGTTCTAATAGCGTTTTTTTCTTCTCCCCCCTCCCAGATCTGAAGAAACTTGCAGAAATACGTCAACAAATTCCTATTTTAAGCCAGAAGCGTTGTGATCTCTATGGCATAGAGATGAAAAACTGTGCCAACTGAACCTTCCCTGTTGTCACCCAGCTTCAATTGCTGCTGCTTTCATCATCATCAGGATTCCTTTATTAGTTGCTCCACAATCTACTGTGTCAGCTAATTAAAACACACACACACACACAAAACCCCCACCAATTCTAAAATTGTTTCAAATACAACTTTTAGTATTTTATAGTATTTTACAGCTAGGATAAAATGGAAGTGAAATCAGTTCAACAGGGTAGTAGTCAACATTCCTTTTTATGCATCACAATGTTTTAGTTACCTTTTCAGGTATTTCTATGTAGAACATAGAAATGGGAACTTTGTTCTCTTTGGAAATCCTCTGAAGTCAGCTTTGGTATTACTAATTTTTCAGTGAATTATCAGATAATCTAGAAGCATGATTCTTCCACCTCCGTCTGTCTTAGTTTTATGTGCCTTAAAGTTCCTTGAATGCCCGACTTCTAACTTGGAAAGCTTAAAATTTAACACATTAGCAAAACAGGTCAAACTCTGCTCTGTACTACTTAGGGACAATGCAAGAAGGTACCAGACAGAACTACTACTACAGAAGAATCTGTAACAGGTTTTGGTTCATGTGTCTTGCCTGGAATATATGCATTAAATTCTGCTTAGTGCAATTCCTGTTTCTTGCTGAAGTGATGCAGGTTACCCTTTTGTTAAAGCAATTCACATGTCGCCACACCTTTGCTCTACATACTGCTTCCTTAATGTAATGCCTGCTGCCTGGCGGTCCTCTGAGGGGAGTCAGCCAAAAGGGTGAGAAAACTTGTTGTGCTGATTTAAGTCTTTCTGCCCACAGCCTTCCAGAAGACAGGTACTAGAATTGCTCGGTGTTTAAAGGCATTATTGCTGCTCCCATCAGCTGCATGGGAAACATGCTCTTGCTGAAGAGACTAACAAACCGATTATTAAAGATGGCTTTAAAATATTTAAAACCAGCCTAGCATGTTGCAGTTTGGGGTGTTTGTGTTTTTGTGGTTTTTTTTCCTTAGGAAGATGACATGTAATGTTATCTAATCTAATGTAAAAAGGTAAGAATTTGCAAACAGCATTTTGTTTCTCCTTGGGACAAAAAAAAAAAAAAGGCAACTCTTAACTATCCAGCCTTTACCACTAGGCTTTTCATTTTCCAGCATCAAAAATGATAAAGGCTACAGCAGGTTCCAAGATAGAAAAATGGGAGGAGAGGTCTGGTCTTGTTCTAGCTACCCACCAGTTTCCCCTGAAACCACCTTACCTTTTCATTCATGTTCAGCCATCCTCCTCTTCCCAAAGCTGCTCTCGACTTTTTTTTTTAAACGTTCTTTTGGCTTCTCTGGAATGAGATAGGTGTGTGTTTTATAGAGGAAAATTAATGGTTAAATTAACCCAAACCCTGAGACATCTTTCCCCTCAAAAGACAAGTCACAGCATTCCACTTAGTGGCATTACCTATTCCAGCAGTCATTTTTTTTTTGGTCTGTACTTTTCACTGTGTTCTGGTGTACATACTGTACTGGAACTCTTAAGAAACAAGCCACAGAGCATAAGGTGAAATGAAGATTTATTTGTTGAAAAATAAATATAAAAAATTAACAGTTTACCATTCAAGTCAAGTCTCCTGCATTAATTTAGTGCCTCCCACATACTCAACAATTGGCATCCATGATGGCCATCACTAGGCTCCCACTTCTAAAGCATAGCACCTATTATACATCCATTTCTCTGAACTACTCCAGCTGTCTTTCCCTCCCCTCTCTATCCTAGTTTAACATGCAGCAGAGCAGGAACTAAATACTACCTTTGGAGGATTAAAGCAGTGCAGGATTCTCATGGGCTGACCGCTTAATTTAAAAAATGCAAAGTGCAGTCTGCAACAGACAACAGAATCCGTGGCCGGGACCCTCCACCCCTGGAATTCCCAAGGGAGAGAAGACATGAAAATCTGCAGCAAGCTACTTTGGTGAACTCAGCTGAAGAGGTGACATGAGCGCAGTCCTCTTCAGGCTGTCGGGACAACTTTACACACCTTGTTTTGGCAGGATGTTTTAGTGGGCTCCACAGCAGTCCACTCAGAAGTGATACACGTGGGACTGGAAATGTGGGGGGGAGAGGGTTCAGTGATGAAAGTGCACAATCAGTTCTCAGCTGGGTAATACTTAAAGCAGTCATACTCAGTCTCTCTGTTGGTAGAAAACAGGCACTTTAAGTGTCCATATTATACAGATGCACCAGTATTCTGTAAGTATAGAAAACCAGCCAGTAACAACCCTGAAATAGCTCCAGAATTTCAGCCTGCAAGAATTTAAATCCTTTTTAAAGAAATAGCAGAAAACACAGTAATGGCTGTTGTATTGGGCAGTGTTATTACCACTGTAGCTGGGAAGCCTGGTTAAAGCGGCACCTAAGCTCCTCTTAATAGTTGCAGAATAAATTACAGTACAGCTCCTTAGTATATGTTAGTTCCCTCTTCACTTTCAATCTACAATTAGATCCTAGTAATTTGAGTCACAACTTCTCATCTCCATTTTGGCAAACTTGTCTCTAACATGAACAACAGGGATTTTAGATGATCAGAATTAAGATGCAAGACAACTATGTGTAGAAGCAACTTCCCAGAGTCTCTAGGATACACCAGGTTTATCCAAGTCTTCAGTACTAGCTTCCTACATTATTTCAACATATTTCTTTTTTTAAATAGCAGTAATACTTTTTTCACTTCAGCTTTCAAGCCCCACTAAAACCTTTTCTCAAAGTTCACATGCATACCTGGCTTAAAGCAAAACATCAACTGTGTCAGCCATTTAAAAAAAAATTAAAAAAAAAAAAATCACGAAAGGGCTCCACCTGCATATACACATTAACAGGGTGGCAGCTACTCAGAGTCTCAGCTTTCCTGGCTGGATTTCCTTTCCCCTGTCATCTTAAGCTCTCAAGATCATACCTCTGTGGGTGATGGAAGCAATCCGAGATAAGACTTGTTAATTCCATGTCTCCTCATTTTTTCTTAAAGGTTGAAGTGAGAGAAGATGACAGGGAGTCAGTCATTATTAGTTCTTCCTAGATTCCGAGCAACCTCAAATAAGCGCAGAGAGCACTGTCATCAAAACCTGTTCTTATACATGTCAGAGAAGGATACTTGAATGTAATATTTATTTTTTCAGTTTACAGGTGATACGTCATTTACAAAAAAAAAAAAATTACAGACAATGCATCCTTTCAGTGCAGTTTCAAACTAGTTCAAGAACAGGCAAAAGTCTGTGATGATTTGGAATGCTAGTATTCAACAGCACATGCTTTTTTTCCCTTAATTGATTGGGTGGGGTAAGGAATGGGGTACAGGTAGAGTAAAGAAGAGAAAATGCCAATGTAAATAAGGCCATGCGAATAAAAACTCCTCAGGAGAACAGGACACATCAGTCAGTCCGGCATGTTTTTGTTCTCAGGTAATTGATGCAGAGAGGGGAAGTTCCAGAAGACATTTGACACTTGTACGTGCAGTGCCCTTAGAAGCTGCCAGTACCTTCCAAGGCCTTCAACACTATGATTTCAGATCACCTACTGAGCCAGCTAAAATAAAATGATTCAATCTCTAGGTCTACTCTCCACCATTTGAATTCTCAACTGTAGTTGCTGGGAGAAAGGAAGGTCAAGTTGAAAGCACAAGCTGCTGCTACATGGTGGCACAACTAGAGAACAAGTCAGTTTGACCACAGCATGGTTCATTTCTTGAAAAGATTAAATGCATTGGACAATTCAGCACAAGCAAATCTATGATTTCAGGATAGAAAGAAGCCCAAATTAGTGTACTGTAAATTAAGCTACATCAGTTACGTATTTGCGTGATGTTTATCCAGCCACATCAGTCCTGGGAGAGGCAAGACGGAATGACTGACTTCCATACCAGAAAGACCAACCCAAAGCAAGAGAGCCCTCTGTGAAGTTCCTAGCTAGAGGAAGCCGGTTTATACTAGTATTTAATAATTTGCCAATCTGCTATTTGCAGAACAGTTGCTTCCTTTCTACAGTATTTGTAATCTTGGACAAGACAGGGTCTAAAGAACAAGGAAACCAGCACAGATTCTAAATCCATTTTTTGAAGTTTTAGCCTATGCTTTGTTCCTTACCTCACTTAATCCTGCAGAGGGGCTATTACAAGGAACAGATCAGAACACCGCAGTCTCTAGAGACTGAAGAGAATTTCGACAGTCTATTAGCTATTACATGTAAGCAAGAGCATCAGGGATTACAAAGATCATACACAAGCATGACCTTACCTTGGCAGCTCTACTCCCAGCAGTGCTTTCTGCCTCCAAACCCTCCAGAGCAATTTCCCGTGACACTCAAGTAAGGACTGCTGCACAGGAACACGGCCTTTCTTCCACTAAAACCTACCCTGAAGCAGTGTCACCCGACCTTTTGACTAGCTCTCCTATACAGCACGCTAGGGATTTCTGGGGTGAGGATAAGGACTGTCTAATTCCCTAATAGCTGCCACAGGACTATTTCTAAGTAAGTTCTGCAGAGGGAGGGGCTTTAAGGGAAGATTGTGCATGCTTGCATATATTTACAGGGATTCTCTCCACATCTACTAACTTAAAAAAACCCTCTATTATTAAACAGTTTGAAAATTATTTTTTTCCTTTTTGCAAAATTAAAATCAACTCTCAAGGATTAATTGCATATAAAAAAGAAACCTATTTTACAGCTCTGACTAGTATTACCTTTAAAATCAACAGGAAAAAACCCCACATGCTGTAATATCGTTTTATAAAGCAAAAATCGCCCACAACATAATCACCCAAAATGAACCAGTGTGAAGTTTTTATTTGCATGGCCAAAATATCTTCCTTCTGTTCCCCTGCAACTTTATTTCCCTTAACACGCTTTAAGGTTTCTGCTGCAGAAGGAACAAGATGCAACACTGCATACTTCCTTGAACAACCACTCCCACAACACCTAAACATTTAACAGATGTAGCAAATGACAACACCACGAACGGGAAAAAACTAAGTTCCACCATTCAACATGGTCTGCAACAGCGTCTTTAGGGCTGGCTGAAGTGGGCAACTTCACTTTAGAAGGTCATTTCCTCCTCATTTCTTTACAGTGTTGGTGGTTTCAATCCATACTTCTTTGCAACTTCTGTCTGGGCATAGGCAGCATCACAGAGTGAGTAGAGGTGGGCCATCTCCATTTCAGATTTGGCCAGGTTGATAGCTTTGTTGAACATTTCAATGGCTCTATCCAGATTACCTCTGAAATAAACCAAAATGTAGCCCAATTAAGACTGGCAAAGCAATCTTTTCATCTCTACAGCATCTTTTCTCCTTCAGGATTTATGCTCTCCACTTCTAACAGCTTAAAAGGACTTTGGGAGGAAACGCCATGAGAACTTGCAATGATGATGAGCAAACTGCGAGAAGTTGTTACCAAGCCTAAGCATGTACGACAGCTGTTTAACAGCCTTCCTTTTGAAAGCCCCCACAGGTGGTAGCGGGGGATAAAATGTTCTCCACAGGACACCAAGTTTACCACAAAGATAATGCTGGGACAACTAAATCAACTCTCATCTCCCTTGAAAAGAATTTGTATGCTTAAGAGGAAACTAGCACAGGCAAGAGCTCACATTATTGAAATAAGAAATGCTTGCAAAGTTTCTCACAGCAACAGTTTAATTGTCTGTCCTTTTGATGGCTAGACATGTTAAAAAAAAACAAAACAAAACAAAACCAAAACACACCTCTCAACTATACTCTCAGCTACACCCCAAACTTTTGCACAATTGTAATTCAATGCACTGTTACAGAATAGCGTGTTAGTCTCCTTTTTACTCTGTGAACCTGCCAACTGCAGTCCTGTTGGAATTAAACCCAAATCACCAGGCTTGAGAGTACAGCTCCAGATCCTCAGTACAAATGGTCCACTAAGATATGTTTAAGGGCTACATTAGATACACAGGAAGCCTAGTAATGATTAAGGAAGTCGCTTTAAATACAGAAGGGATGTATTTAAACATACACAGACTATCTGCACAGGAACTTATCAGATCATGGAACATAATTATGCCATAGAGAAAGGAAGGCTTTACCTAAGAGTTACAGAACAGAAATCAGGACTTCAGGTGAGAGCTGGCCTTGCACAGCACCGGGAAGAAGATCTTAAGAAAGACTTAAGATCCATAAGGAAATCTAAAGGACTACCGTAATTTCAAAGATAACTAAGAACTCTTAACACTGCAATTCAACATTACCTTTGCACTTCAATCGTTCCCATGGTTTCATATGCAAAATCACATTTGTTATCAATTTCAATGGCCTTGCTTATGAGTTCTAACCCTTTGTCTAAATCTTGCTTCCACTGGAGCTGAAGTAAACTAGAAGAGAAAGAAAATTTATAACAAACTTCACATACTCCTCCCAAAACTCTGATCACATAAGGAGGGGAAAAAAAAAAAATCCCAAATGTATTTAATTCCTAATGCAGGGGAGACAGTAACTTCATGGATTTTAAAAACATGTGAAAGTCACTTTCAATAAGCCACGTCGCCAGTTTAATGACTCTAAAATAGGTAAATTCCTCCTAAGAAGACTTGTTACAAGTTGTTTTACAAAAGAAAACTTCAGCACAAAGCTAAAATTAAGATAAGGCTAAAGTAAAAGTCAGATACACTTCAAGTAGATACTCAATTAGGAATGAACACTAATGAAATTCTCCTGAAACTTATTTACAGTTTAGTCAAGAGAAACTGTAGAAATACATTTAATAGCACTAAGATGTTTTCACAAAGTTATTTCTCCTGGCTAAACTTCTACACACAAACATTTAATTCAGGTTGGTTCATCTAAATATGCCAACTGCCCTCGACCAAAAGGATCGCAAACTCAGTACATACCCTTTATGAACATATGTAGTGGCATTGTCTGGCTCAAGGTCAATGCATTTATCATACATTTCATCAGCCTTGCCAAACTGCTGTTGATCAGTTAGTGCCTGCATCAAGAGAAACCTATATGTCAATACGCAACCAAAATACATGCTCTGCAAGAGGCTAATTCTAATTAAAGCCACATTGATGATGTGAGATTGGATATAGCTCTCTTATCGTAGAGTAGGCCAGGCACATCAGTTACCACAGTTAAGTTTCAAAACTGAGGCTTTTTAGAAGAAAGCTCCTAGGCTTTACATGCACAAATTACTGATTACAGTACCGTCTGTAATGGGAAATCCACAAGCAACACACTAACTGTACTGCAAGTAAAACCCATTCTAAAAGTCTGTACCTGCAAGTCTCAATTTCTGCCTTTTTCAAGTATACTTCTTTCAAAAGGAAATGCATCCATATTGCCTACCTACTTAAAATCAGAACATCTCATGCTTCATACTAGAACCAGAAGTACATCTTCTTAGAGAAGAAATTACAGTCTCTGTTACAAGTCTACTCTGAACATCTGTACTAAACCCGCTTGATCAGCACATGTCATTTGTAGCAGAACGAAACCGTTACCCTACTTCCACACATTTAACTCTCAAATTACTTAGAGAGTCCCTGACATCCACCAAGTGAGATGCCACACACATGCAGGAATTCAAGGGGAAGTGTATGCCAGACCTTTGTCTCCTAATAACCATCCTTGACTCTCATCATCTATATTCTGTGCCACCAACTCCCCCTCTACTTCCTCTACCCCAGAACACACATACCCATAAATTCAGGTAGCTTATTAAGACAGCATATGTTATCTCAGAAATTATTCTCAAAAATCTTCATGTATTATTTGAATAAACACATGTTATCCAAGATAAGAGGTGCAAGAGAATGTAGCATTTTCTTTAAGAGAGAGAAAAATGTACCTGAGCATAGAGCGCATAGCCTTCAGCACACTTGGGAAATTTTTTTATGACATCTTCAAATCCTTTCATGGCTACTTGCACAGGCAAAGGATTATTTCCTGTATAAGCTTGGCGATACTATTCAAGAAAGAAAAAGAAAAGAAAAAAGGAAAAAAAATGAAACACCACAAAAAAAAGGCTCATCAGACTTCTACCCACTTCCCCAAGAGACACACGCATCATAACAATTACAAGTTCCAGAAGGTGATGTCTCTGTACAACCTACCAAATCTGTTCTTAGGAACCTATCATGTGTTCAGGTCTCTGGTAGAGTGGACTTGGAGAGGAGAAAGGGTGAAAAAAGGAAGCCATAAGGCCTGATAGTTGCCAATAGCCTCCCTCTATTTCAAAGCCTAGAAATTCCAAGCCTAGAATTCCTCCTTGTTCACACCATGCAAAGCTGTCCTCAGAAGATTCCTGCACACAGAGGCATCGTACTAGTTTGAAATAGTTTGTTTCCAATTTCTTGAAGATGACTGTTTTCCACAACGTTAAAGCTTTATTTAAATCAATTTTACATGATACAATTAGAATGAAAATTTGTGTTCCTCTACCACAAAACAGAAAAGATGACCTACTGTTTGAAAACATTTCAAAATGAAAGCAACAAACCCTCACTCCAGCTGAAGAAACTGTTGCGTTCTTTCTTTACCTTATTATTAAAAGATATTGAGATGTTTGTTGCCCTACTTTTCCATTAAATTGGAACAAAACAGAGAAACATCTTTTCTGGAACTCTTTAAAACGAAAAAGCACTCAGACAAACACCAGCACGTTACCTACCAGAGCGAAACATTTCTGTGCTTGAGCCAAGGCAGAATCGGGTCGCAATCGGATACATTCATCAAAGTCTTCCACAGCCTCTTCAATTTGGTCAAGCAGGATTTTCAGCTAGCCAGAATGAAAGAAAATCCTATTTCTGTATTTAATCTCTGCTTCAGACACTTAAGTGATAAATCAATTAGCGTCAGTTACTCATATCATCTCCAGTTCAGTTTTAGAACTGCCTAGAGACCTAAAAAACCCATGACTAAAAATCACTGCCATAAAATAACAAAGCCATCAGTGAAACTTTGGCTTCCTACACAAAATGGCAACATTCATGTGTAGGGATTGAGAACGCTTGCATTTTAGACTGTTGCCATTACTGCTTTAGCATTATGTCCAGTCTCCAAAACTATGCCATATTTTCTCAAGTCGCTTTGCCTCACTGTAGTTAATGCCTGTGGACTACTTGGATGTCAAAACATTTTGGCTTTCCCAGCTTGCATTTCAACTTTTTTTTTTTTTTAATATTCTCATTCCTCCACAAGAGTGGAGCTCACTTCATCATTCTTACTTTACTGCAAAGCTACTGTAAAACACTAATTTTCAATGTGCAGAAAACTTTCATTCCCTTCAATCAACACATAGCACCATTCTTATTTCTGAGCACTAAAGACATCTCACAAATCCATGGAGGGAGGCACTTGATCCGTGGAAGTCTGCCTTACGAATACAACTTAGCATATCTGCATATGGTAACGTTTCCTTTTTTCTTCCAGCACCTTTTATATTGCAGTTCTGTGGAAGCAGGCCTCTCTAGGCCTAGAAATTAGTCAAGGACACAGCAGCATCACAAGCCAGAGAGGGATGAGCTGAACAGATGCAAGTCTAGGCCGCAGCGCTGCAGATGCTGAGTTATCAGGAACCCACATTACATCTGCTGTAACAAAGCTTCCTTCTATGCGGATGCTGCTCTGCCATATCAGGCACCTTCACAGAGCAGCTTGTATCTGCTGTAAACATATATATAAGCCCTAGTACTTTTAAGTCAGAGTTCATATTGATGGAGGGCTGAACCTCTGTCGCTCTGCATTCTTTCCTACAGCTAACAGAAATAAACTGCTTCTGCCTGACCTGAACCTGAAAATTAGACTGTGTTTATTCTGCAACAGTTCGAAATTAGAAGTCCATGTTTTTCTGCCACAAACAGTACAAAGTGTCTCTGATGATGTACTGATCTTTATTTTTCTTTTAGTATATACTGAAATATTCCAGCATTGGGACAAAATCTCTAATGTTTCTTACTTGTCCTCGATGGTGGTAAACATCTGCATTCTGAGGATCAATATCAGCAGCCATGTTAAAGTCTTGAGTGGACAGCACAGGTTGCTGCTGCTGCATATACATACTGCCTCGTTTGATCAGAGCATTAGCTCGGAGCTGTAAAAAAAGTTCAAAGAAGCATTAGCCACTCCAACATTCCTCCAGATTTAAGGCTTTGTTACAATTACAGTAAATTTTTCATTTGACTAGTTCCCCCCACTGACAGATTTCATTCTAAGCAGGAATAAATTTCACATTGACTCTAAATGAATCACCTCCCTTGCCTAATTTCAAATGTCAGCCTATGCTTCCATCTCAGTGGATTTTCAATCCCCCAAAAAATCCTTTGTAAGACAGATTCCCTATGCTTACAAATACATCAACATTTTTTAAAACAGTTCAATATGCAAGTACAATTAATGTTTTTCTCTTATGTATGAACTGATTTTTCAGACTGGATAAACCTCCAATTCATTCAACTTCCTCTGTTCTTTAGTTTGTACTAGTTAGCACAGCCATCTCAAAAACCAACAAGCCCTTGAAAAAACAATTTGTCAGGAATAAAAAAAAACAAAACAGTAAATAAACCAGAACACTCCCATTAAAGTATCAGAAAACTTGGAAAAACAACTTCTTAAACTATACTGCAAGTTTATCATCCAACTTCTACATTTTCTCAACCCAAACTACAATCCAGCTGTGACAGGTTCTTACCTTCACATTTGCATCTTCCATGCTGATGACCTGATCTAGGTCTGGTTTGGCAGCATTTGCATTGCCAATAAGTAAGTAGAAAGTAGCTCGCAGAAGCAAAGCTTCTGCCATGTATTTTCCCTTTGCTTCAATTTCTTTTGTGCTTTCACTGATAATTTTGTCATAGTTCTCTTCTTCCATATATTGTTTTGCTCTCAAATAGCCAGAGCTGTAAACGATGTAAGAACAGTTGTATATATACACGCATTCACTGAACACTGCAATTTCAATTCAGATTTTTCAGTAAACCGTAACAAATACTAATTTTTGCTATAGTCAGATACAACATCAGCATAAGTAGTAGTTATAAATATTCCTGGATGGAGCCATCACAAACTGAAAACAATTTAGACAAAGAATGGCCAAATCACGTTGGAAATACAGAAGAAAAATGCTTTAAAGCTCTTGAACTTGAGATTCATTTGTCCCTTGAAATTTTTTTTCACATTAAGGACAGCAATAATCTCTGCCTTAAAACAAGAGGGCTGGAATTCACTCCAGGTCAGAAAAGTGAAATATTAAACCTAGCAACGTTCAGTTTATACGTGGAAGAAAGGATTTCACATCAAAAATTACAATAAACACTGCCCTGTCCTCAGCTAACTGTCTTGGATTCAGTGAATCTGCCTCTAGATCAGGACATTCTATCTTATTTAAAAAAAAAAAAAATCATAACGCTGTTTGCAATGCTTCCATATGTTTCCATGTATGCAATGTTTCCATACTGACAGCAGTGATATCTTCCAAAAATAAACTGGAAAGCAGCATAGTAAGTTAAAGCACCAATTCAAGTGGTACTCAAGCTCCACTCAAAAGAAAAATCTCAAGCTTTTCTTTGTCAGAACAAACCTCTCTTTTATCTGCAATTTGATTCCAGAAAGATAAAACACCCTTTCAGCCTCAGTTGCCATAAACTCATAATTTGCATTAACAAAACCCCTTTTCTTAGCTTGTCTTTTCCCTTTCAATCCAAAGACTAACCTCCTCTCTTCCTTGGAAAGTCTCCTTCAGTATAAAACATTCCCTTCTCCAGAAGCACCATTCAGCACTCTCCAGTCTTCCCATCTCCTAAGATTTACTATGATATTGTACTAAAAATTCAGCACATCTTCCCAATCTCATTGTCCTTCCTCTGTTTAGTGGATTGAAGCCACCTACAGTTTGGAACTAGCCAGTCAGCTTTCATACAAAGTTTCATTTTTAATACTGATCTCATTTCATAGGCTTATGTTATTACCACAGGATTTCCCATGCCAAGTACTATAAAACCAACAAGCTACACTCAGCAGAATGTCAAAATCACTGAAAACTTAATTCCAATACCAAACAATTCCCAACTGTACCATACACTCACTTTTCTTTTACTTCAGAAGCCTCTCCTTCCTTATCCTTATCTTCATCTGATTTCTCACCCTTAAGCAAAGGTTGGGAGATTATATCATCTGTGAAAGAACTGAAGTAGGATTTAATGAACTGCGGTGATGGCATCAGAGGCTCACGATTCTGAAACAGAGAAATGTAATTTCATTAGATGGTAATATCAGATGGTAAATACGGAAATGGATAAACAAATGTGATTATAAAAAAATTCACTCATGAAAGAGCCAATATATGACTTTCCACTATCTTATTTGATAGTCTCATATTTTTGATTTGACAATTTGACTTTTAGGGATTATTTAAGCTTCAGATCATAATGCAATACCCATCACCAGTAGAAATAAAGTGAAGATACTCAAGAGAGGAGGGAGATAGTATCTGTCTGCATGTGAGGCTAGAAATGAGGACTCTTACAATATCTTAATAGTACATTGGGTAGATGTACTAAAGCAGTACATGTGCACATAAATTGGGTGAAAAACGCAAGCTGGCAGTTTAAGCATGAGTCTAAATTCAAGTAGATTCCGAATGGTAATTTGCCCTTTTCTCCAACTGGTCCAAGAGAAACTGCCGTCTTTCATTACAATGAAGACTAATAAGTTGATACCCTAATCCTACAGGGAGCTTGGCCCAGATACTTCTGGGATTTCAGGTAAAATGTGTGGTAACATCTTTCAGGTATAAAATCCTTTCTACAGCCGAAAAATATTTCTTGCTCGAAATGAACACTGCACATAAGAATTCCAATTCAATCTCTCCTGCAAGAAAAGTCTGAATGCACTCTTTGGAATTTCTCTAAATTCTATCATAATCCTGCCTATTTGAAGCACACCTATTTTATGATCCTACCACTGCCACACTAATAGTAAATTTAATTTTTTGTTACCTCAACACTACACATTTATGTGACTCTGTAGGAAAGAAATTCAGCATCTCAAAACCACCGTCACAAAAAATGAGCAAGAATGTTTTAATAACAAGCAAGAATGCTTTAATACCTGTTCCAACTGTTTTGTAAACCTATAGCCACTTAAAATGACTGCTCCTGGCTAACCCTATACTTCCATAGTTCTCTTTTCTGTAGTTTCCAAACATTAACACAAAGACACCTGAGTGACAAAATTAGAAAGTACAAATATGAGCACCTATTTACAGAAATGGAACAGAAACAGCCTGCAACTGAACGTCACAAGTGATCTGCGGTAGTACGAAGGTATATATTTGAAGACAAAATCAGGAAGTCTGACCGCTAATAAAAAGATGTGACTTTGCACTGCATCATTTTTTCTTAAGCAAAGCTTTTTTGCCTTTTTTTTAAAAAATCTTAAAACAGTATTATTTTGCCACTTTCCAAAACATAGGAATTCTGCTGTCAACTTAATCTTTCCTACATGAAATTTCTATTTATAAAACCAAGAATGACCTGGCAGAAAAAGTCCTCAATCACCATTCTTCTCATTTTAAGCTATTTGTTACATACGGAACCAACATTTTTATGCATTTTCAATTTATTTATAAACCTTCCTATCTCAACACACATACCTAACTCAACCACCTGATGTGCAACTGAACGTTTGGCTACTGCTCTTCCAACATATCCTGTTTCCATTATGTTGCAAGTCCAGAAAAGCCCCATGTAGGGGAGCACATCAACTCGAGGCATCTCCTGAATGTCATAATAAATTTGATTATTAAAAGGAAACAATTGTTAGAAATAGAACTCTCTTCCCTACTAAGGTTTCAAAAACTTTGGACAGGTCCCAGAGGAAAACAACATTGGTACAATAGTAGCTTGTACTAAACCGTTTGTGTCGATTCTTGCACTTCAGTGATGAAGACAGTGACTTGGTTACAACAATTGACAGAATGCCAACAATCAACAACCAGTCAGGTGAAATCAGAATTTGTCAGCAATATCACAAGTCCTACCTTGTATTTCTCTTTGGCCTTTTCTTTTCCAAGGAGTTTAAGAACTTTATCAGCTAATAACATACTTTGCTGGTTTTGGAAGGCTTCTAAAATGCAGACTGCAGTGACATCTAGGAAACAACATACAAAGTGAGATTAAAGACAAATTCTGATAGTCACTGAAGTACGCTAAAATGTGCCACTGTTACAATGAGTCATCGTCAAACTTTGTCCTGTCTGAGGGTAAAAGCCTCTGTTTCCAATTTGCTGTATTTACCATGTTCTCCAAGATATAAATTTGTATCCGAAATGATCGCCTTGTGATAAAAGGACTTCATGACAGTGAGTGAAAGAAACTGCATTTATTTCTGTTTTCATGTTTTTATCTACACACTTAAGATGAACAGTGCAAATGTATACCTCCAGCAGGGGCTTTCACCATTTTGAAACTTTGAGGATAGTAATTATGTTCGCATTAAGAAGGCTAACACAGTTTCTCTTCTGGGACTGGTCCTAATTCTCTACTTTTAAAATTCATATTCAGTCCCATCACATCTCGCTTCTTCCTCAGTTTAAGAAATCTTCCCATATTGTATCTCAAATTGTTCTGCTCACCTCTGTGACTTTGGAATGGAGCAATTTTAAGAGAAATACCTTGCTGGCCTATTTAAAGTGCTAGCCCATATCACACTGCTTTCATTCACACATAGAAGCCTCTGCAAATGTTAACTCATTGCTGCCTGAATCATGCTTTGTAGTACGAAGTCTGCTCTTACAGTACATTAACATTATTTCTCTGGATCCTCTAGTTAATGCGATACTACCGATAATTTTTCCCATTTAATTTTTACTTAAACATCAGTGAAGATGAACAGAGTTTGGACTTGAAATTCAAACAGTGTATTGTTTGAATACACTTGAAAAGCAAGGGTCTTACCCTGGAGTTTCAGTATAGTTTCTGTAATTCTACACTGCTGTAGGTACTATTATGCCATCATTTACACAGAAACTCCCCACAATGCTGGCATGGTCAAGAAGCACATCGAAGATCCCAGGAAAACACACTACACCCAGAACGAGCGTGAAAGATAGTGTGCAGTAATACCATGCTATAGGACCTTAGCAAACATGTTTTGCCCAAAGCAGGCACCTGTAAACTGCTGTGAAGCAGCAACATCTTCCCAAATGATACTGCCAGGGATCATCTTGGGGCAGGGGGCGTTGCTGGTTGCATGGGGCAGGTTAAGTTTATTTGGTTTCGCTTTCCTCAACTACATGGACGTACCCTACTTCCTGGGATTTTACTGGCCATACGTGCTTGGTAGGTAAAAGCAGTATTCTATTAGGAAACCAGTGTAGCTCAGAAAAAGCAAGTAATTTCCAGATCTGAAAAAACTGCATGCTAAAAATCAAACACAAATCAAGGTTTAAAATAACTGCTACAAAACATTACTGCTATTAATGTTAAAAAGGAGTTACATTTAAAAGCTATCCTACTATGTCAGGGACACTTGATCTTTCTTGACGTTTTTATCATCTGCCAGTTTATCACAACTACATAGGGTTTAGATTTTATTATAGTACTCTGGAAGTGCAGCTGTTAGTCAATTAGTGACTGCAAAGGACTACACTAAATGACCTAAGTAGTCCTTTTCTAGTCCCTGCAGTATCACAGGGCAGAAAGGCATTCTGCCAGCAGATAAATAAGATTTCCACATCTTATTTACCTTCTAATTTAGCAGACCTAATTCTTAGCTGTTACACATAATGAAACTAATTTAATAGTTAGGTTGGCCAGTCAGAGCACTGCCTTATTTTCTGCCCTTCTTTGACAATGAGCACAGCTGAAAATTTCACTTGCCTTTAAACCTCACATCCACAGAAATGATTTCACTTGATGAAATTCAAATGGGTCATTTCAAGCAGTGTCCCTTAGATCAAAAGGGCCCTCAAACAACACACCTGACCTGTAGTTCTCCTTAATTTCCACGGCTTCTCAGCCACATCTTCCTGACAGTTCAAAATGCATTCTGTTAGGAATAGTATTTGGAATGATTTGACACAGTAGTTTCTGCCAAATACACAGTGCTAATATTAAAAAAAAGGTTAAATCTGTTTCAATTTTCATAACAGTTATACATCAGAACAAAATGCTACTGAAGTTGTTTTCTCTTTAATACCCGCCAAATGCATTTAAAGGACTGTAATACTCTTGTTTCTGACCATGTGTCTCCACCTGCAAAAACACCTTGGTTTCTGCAGTAGTAGCATTTCTCTAGAACAGGGAAGAAAGTTTGTTTACTGTATGGAAGTAGAACGACTGTTTTCTGGGTTATCCACTCAGCACATTAGATGAATTCTACTCTAAAATGTAGGGAGTTTCCTGGAAAAAGAATCATAGCATGGTTTGGTTGGAAGAGACTTTAAAGATCACCTCGTTCCAACCCCCCTGCCATGGGCAGGGACACCTCCCACCAGACCAGGTTGCTCAAAGCCCCATCCAACCTGGCCTTGAACACTTCCAGGGATGGGGCATCCACAGCTTCTCTGGGCAACCTGTACCAGTGCCTCACCACTCTCTCAGTAAAGAATTTCTTCCTAATATCAAATCTAAATCTTCACTCTTCCAGTTTAAAGCCATTGCCCCTTGTCCTGTCACTACACGCCCTTGTAAAACATCCCTCCCCAGCTTTCCTGTAGGCCCCTTTAGGTACTGGAAGGCTGCTCTAAGGTCTCCCTGGAGCCTTCTCTTCTCCAGGCTGAACAACCCCAACTCTCTCAGCCTGTCTTCACAGTAGAGGTGCTCCATCCCTCTGATCATCTTCGTGGCCTCCTCTGGACTCTCTCCAACAAGTCCACATCCTTCTTGTGCTGGGGGCCCCAGAGCTAAAGGCAGTACTGCGGGGGGCAGGTCTCACTTGAGCAGAATAGAGAATCCCCTCCCTCGACCTGCTGGTCTCGCTGCTTTTGACGCAGTCCTGGATACTGTTGGCTTTCTGGACTGCAAGCGCACATTGCCTGGTGTGCGCTTGAGTGGCTACAGTAACATCAATTTCTCAGCAGCTATTTCCAATGTAAGCGATGACAGCTTCAAAAATGGGAAAAGGTTTCTTCTTACAAAAGAAAATGTATTTGCAGCAGCTATGAATGGTTTTAAATAAATGATTCTGTATTACTGTAGTTCCAGAAATAAAAATAAATCAATCCCAGAAGTTATCATCTCCAAAGCACCTGAGCTAATTCCACTTTTAAGTACACACATCAAGAGACACTCACCTTCTAAACATTCCTTCTTATTGTCTAGCTTCTCATGAGCCTTTGCACGTCTGAAGAGAGCTTTTACATATTTAGGATTAAGCTCAACAGCCTTTGTGCAGTCTTGTGCCACTTCTGTCCATTTTTGCTGTGAGTAGAAAGACAACACAATGAGAGAGGCCCTACTCAGCTGCATTATATTAGCTTTCCACTACCAACTCCAGGGTCATGCCCACCTAACAGTAGCTGCAGTTCCCAGGGCTCTGGTTCTACCTGCTTGCTTCTATTTCTGCAAGTTTCTCAGTAAGAAACTGTCAGGCACCACTGGAAGCCACCTGCACCAGAAGAGCCACAAAACAGAAAACGAATTGCTACAGAAAAATGAAAACAGACAGTTGTACAAAGCATATGGGAGAAGATAAGCCGATACGAAGATGCTTGCAGGAGGTAACATTGGGACTGAAGACTGGTACAAAACAAATAGAAGAAAAAAGATGAAAACATAACGAAAACCAACAAACAAGTTTAACAAAGTGCTAAAACACTTTTTAAAAAATTTATTTCAATTTATCACGCTATGTTATTACAAAGGGATGATAAATGAGTATGTAGGACTAGACCTGGTCAAGGATATTAAGAACTAAAAATCCATTTATCTGCAAAATTGATTATCAAAACAGGCTTTTCTAATAACTGAAAAAAGAGGAACCAGATATATTTGGGATTCATTATGGCATGAATTAGTGTTAAAAGTAGTATTTGATTAGACAAGAACTGTTTTCTCTCTCCTCTAACTTTCAAGACTAGATTTCTCTCATCACACAATCTCTCACTTGATACTTCAGACTGTACAAAGCAAATTTTTCCGCTCCTTTATACAGCTCACCAACTGAACCTCATAAGCAAATCTATTAATACCATAATAAACAACACTGGTTGACTTTGAAAACAAATAGCAAGTATACTCAGCTATCAAGTAAATGTTACTTCCAGATGTGCAACATTTAGGTCTTGGGCTTTAATAGGATTGCCGTGATTTTTTTTGTTTAATTTTTGAAGTAGCGTCCTTCCAAAATACTTTGCCTTTCACCTAACAGTTAAAGAAACACTCTAGTAGAGAGAAGCAAAATGAATTTGTATACAAGAAAATTGTTCCAGAGGATAAGAAATTAAAACCTTGTCTTACAAAAAAGGGACACATAAGAATTACATAATACAGAGTAGTTAACAGAAAATAATTTTATTTGTATGTGGAAAATTATGACGAGCTTGTGAAAAATGGCTGCAAGCAATGGCATCTTCGTGTGAAGGCAGTAGGTATCACCACCTGGGGTCTTTCAGTGGACAAAAGTGACAAAATACACAATTTATAATGCAACTTTCTAGAATAAATATGTAATTATCTTTCATTTCTTACCAGTTGTTCATAGGCAGCAGCTCTATTTTGATAGAAGGTAGAAAGATCAAGGTTTTTCTCAGGAGGGCACAGGCTGATAGCCTCAGTATAGCACTGAATAGCTTGCTCATATTTTCCCGCTTTAAAATATTTGTTTCCTTTGTTCTTGGCTGCTTGCGCTCTATCAAGAGGGCTCTGAAAAAGAAAGCGATACGTCAGTTCAAATAAGAAAAGCATCACTGTACGCAAGTTATGCACTTAAGGGCTGATCTTCAAAGACGCAACACGGATCTGATTGGTAAACTCTAGCCTAGACTTCTGAAAATGTCAGTCCTTCCATTTCCTGGAAAAACAAAATAGACTTTCTTTGACAAGTGTATCAGATAGGAGACAAACTCTTCAAAAGATTCACTACAAAAGTATTAAGCAATGCAGTGATTTCCCTTTAGAAAGCTAAATAGGTTTTAATCTTAGTGACTGGTGATCAGAAGAACCAATGAGGTAAGTTTTTTCTCCAAAGACTAAATATGTGAAGAAAATAAAGCCCTCAAAGCAATTTAAATAGGGAAAATTTCCTACTGAAATACACATAGCCTTTAAGACCAGAGCTGACTCAGCAGACTATGAATTAAATATGGAGAACACTTTGTGGAAAGACCTACTGAGCAAGACGAATAAAACTGGTAGTGAAAACAAAACTGTTTTGCCTTCCATACACCAGGCAAATAAACTAACTTTACAGCTAACTCCTCTACAGCTTCATACAACTTGCCTCACCCAACTGCTAATACAAAGTGCTGGACCATCATGGTCTGTCACTCTTAGCAGAGGATGGAAAACTGTGCCAACTGGCCTGTGACCCTGCTAAATGAATCTTCATGTTCTGCATCACCTCTTGATCATCTGCATTTCTGCAGAAACCAACACTGCCACCTGTAACCCCTAGATTTACAGATCAGTTATCAAATGTTGTGGTTTATAAGGAATCAGATGTAAAAAGCCTCTCTATCAAAGGGGTATGACCCATGTTCAAGAAATACTGAGCTGCAAAAGACCCTAACATTCATCTTCTGGATTTCTGCTCCTCTTTCACAGCTTAGCTTCAAGGATCAACATTTTGGGGCAGTTCAGGCTAACCTGCCAGACCAAAATGAACAGAGGCGTGAGCACACATGTCATCCTACCAACCTCTCTGAGGAGGGTAAGAGTACAAACTGGGGGCAGTAATGCCTCAAACAATAGCTGCAGGATTGACTACATCTCACCTGTTGAATCACATGCACTGAAATGACCATCCAGGATTTGCTGGCAATTGTCAATGCTGCTCTTTGACCATACTTCTGCCTCCTCTCCCTGCTCATCCACCACCAGCGCCAAAGTTACACCCAGATGGCTGTAAGACAATCCTGAAAGCACCTTTGCGTTTCATCACCCCGTTTCCCTTAATGTCTGCTCACTTCATGCCAGTCTGATCATTTTTAGCATCTAAATGACTTTTACAACTGAAAATCTGAAGGGAACCCAGGAGTTGCTGTACATCCCCTCTTTTAAGGCCTGGCTTCCAATCACGGCATGAGAAAATCAGACAATGGGTACCAGTCTCAGTTCCTACATAAAAATAGGAATCCAGATAGAACAAAAGTATCCTACAGGCACTCTCCCGAGGGGAGACTCACAACTAAAACCATATAAGGGAGGGAATTTCTTAAATATTGCTGTTGCCAGAAAAGCTCTTCTCTCATGGGTCACTGATCACTGGGTTTATACGAGGAAATCAATCTGCACCATCTCCACTGTTCACAGAACAAGATAATCTGCATGGCTTTTAGATATTTGGGTTTTAATGATTTAAATTCAAATTGAGAAAACATTATTAACTTCACCACTTTTTGTACACTGTGTGTAACTCTATGGATACACAAGCCAGAATTAGAGTGCAAATATTTTTACTGAGAGCCAAGTAACTGTGTATTTGACAAGTCATTTCTTTAAAACTTAACCCAAGTCTGAAAAGGTTACATTTACTTCAAGTATGTCCTAAATTTAGCTCCCAATACAACACCACTTCTCTTTTAACTAAGGGAAGGGTTATGTGTATGCAGTAGACAAAGTTTAATGCATGAAAGTCAGCTTGAATTTTTCCTTCTGCATTTCTACAGCAAACCACATTAGAAACGTCTTTGTGAAATAATCTACAAAATTCAGTGCTGTTCCAAATTCTTGGTACCAAAAAGTAAAACACAAGATGTAGGCCACGTTATAACATTCATACATGCATTCCCAGTATGAAAATTATTTCAGACTGCAGAGATTAAGCCTACGCTACAACTAGATTACCACTTTCTGATCACTGCCAATTCCTTTAGCCCAGGGATCTACTACCCCAATACGCACCTCAGGCTGACCAGCCCCTCCGCTCCATCCTACACATTCTGACAGCCCTGCACTGCAGTCCCGGCATAAAGACATGTGCTACAGATGAGGACTACTGGAAAATACCCAAATGCAATGGCTGCTCCAGTGTCAGGTGTGGGATAGGAATTGTAACGGGATGCAAGTTATCTGTAGTTCTGGGGCTGTCACTTGCTCTGCTGGTTCTTGGAAGCATGAAGTCTTCAGACAAGCCTAAGTGCATGCAACAGGGACTAAAAACTTCAGAGAGTATGGGCATGACGCCGCAGGAAAACCCATTAAAATTAGTAACTCTCTTATCAGGGTAAGCTTTGAATAACAACAGTATGCCCACAGACCACACAACCAACTATACAGAAACGAATCATCAAATAGATGCTAACTCTATGGTTACTCTCTGCCCCACGCATTGCATGACGCAAGAAATTTGGGGGTAGGGAGTCAGGAGTTAGAGCACAACGTGCTATCATGTAATAAAGTCAGCAATAATGCCCACGTCAAGATAGACATCAACGTTTTTGTTGTTGTTTATGCTGCCTATAACTAGACTCCTAGCTCTTAGACAGTTTATCTCTGCAACCTTAGTCACACTATTCCGCTATAGTCCTCAATATGCATGCAATACATCATTGAATGGAATGGCCGACATTTTAAACGCAAAGGCTGATACAGCTCTGTATCATCAATAAGCCCATTCTGATAGGGACTTGGATGAAAAAATAGTCCCTTAGCATCTCATACAGACGAAAAATGGATCCCATACAGACTGTATAGAAATCGTGTGTTAAAAATAACAAAACGTTGTATCTATGTCTTGAAGACCAAATGGTGATAGAATACAATGCCAAGTTTTAAACTCAACTCTTTTTCTAAATAACGATCCTGATGAGATTTATTTTCTTAGCAATCATGAAACTCCTTTACCATAGAAAACATAGCAAAAACCAGTGGATTAATTTACAGCTTTGGTATACAACTGATCAACTTATGGAACAAAACAAACAAAACCAAAAATACAGCTTTTATTTTAATTCTGTGAAATTTTAAAGACTATTCATAAACTTTTTTTTTCTTCAAAAAAAGCTTAATAATTTCTGTTTAAGTTACATATTCAACCTAACTAACTGCAACATAACCTGATGAAGCCAAAACCACTAAAAAGCTAAATCTCATAAGTCTCTTCTTTTGCTTTGGTATGTTTTTGTTGTTTGTTCTTGGGGTTTTTTGGTGGTGTGTTTTTTTTTTTTTTAAAGGTATTAAAGAACTCGTGTCACATTATATGCTGCAATACCATTTCATAATAGTACAAATAAGAATACAAAAATTAATTCGTAACATAAGATTAGTTTTTGAAAGAGTTTGTCAAGCCTTAGATTTAACCCTGATGAAATTTTTAAGCTGCTGCTTCTCAACCCTCCAGTCCTTCAATTGCTACACTGAAGATGTACACAAATAAGAAACTCATTATGCAAGCAAACTTCATGTACTTCATGCACAAGTAACCAAAAAACCTCACATTTTCCATTTTCTCGCAAATGTAATAATTCTAGACATTATTTTCCAATTTCACTGCTTCTTCTCACCTGATCCATTGCTATTCTATGTGGTGCACTGGACTTTTTTTGTTCCTAAGGTGAAGGTCCATATAAAGCAAGAAAAACTTTCACAGCTTGACATCTTCTGGTCAAAGAATGTGCAACAAGCAAACCAGCTCAATAAAATGAATGGAAGTTCATAATCAATTATCTGTCAAGGCAGTACAAACAAGTAGCTCAGAAGTTATCTGCAGTTACATAAAAAAATAACATCTCAGTACTTAGGACTGTTTTCAGCAACTGTTCACTAAAAAGTCTTAAAACAGAGTTTACACCAAAAGACACTTGTGTATTTGAGACTCAGTTATCTAAGTAACTAAACAAACAGCAAATGTGCCTTCCTCACAAACGTTCAGAAACTGCATGCAAGCAACAGCAACTTAACAGCAACAGACTGCCAGCTGCAAGAATAATAAAGCTTAGTAACACCCAGCAATGCCAACATGGTTAAACTAGCAGTTCAGAACTTTATATATTTGAGGGAGATTGTTTTCTAAGGCAGAACAAGAAATTAGCTGTCAGCCAATGATGACAGTGATTCACAACAGAAGCAGCAGCAGCGAGCTTCAGCATTTTCTTTTGGTTGAAAAGGATTTGTGTGAGCCCTTGTCTGACAGATGACATGGAGAGGGACTACTGTTTCAGTCAACTTAATTCATCAACTTGCCAAAAAAACCCAAACCAAAACAAAAGCCCTGGACTAGACCTCTTTTTTCCTCTCTAAGTGAGAGGACCCTCTTGATGAGATCGAGTACCACAAAAAAGTGTTGTTTTCTGAATATCTGTAGTTACTGAGTATTTCCTCTTTTTTTGGACTAATGTTTATCTCGAGTCTCATCTCAGACCTATACGGAAAGGCATTAACAGAATATAAATGGTTTTAAGATTCTCCTTAGCACTAAAACCACTATGAGAAAAAGAATGTCCGCAAAAAGTATGTCCACATGAATTTAAGATGTAAATTCAGAGCACAAGCAAGGATATCTTATAGTTAGAAATAATTAAGCTCAAGTTTACAGTACAATTTGTCAAAGTTCTCCATCAGTCACCTTCCTTTTAAATGAGTTTGGCATTCACGCCTACCACAAATAAGAGAGCAGCACATGAGCTGCCAAGAGTCTAACAATTGTTCTACTGCTATCATACACACGTTTGAGAGTTTTCTACACCTGTCCACTACAGCTGGCATGAAACATAGCAGACTTACAGTAGGTCAATAGTGAGATTTATTAGGCAACAGGTGCACAGTACAACAGAAATTACTTTTTATATACTTTGCTCAGTTCAATTCAGAATAAGTATCAACATAAGTATATCTAGACAAAGGGGTTTAATTTGTTCATATACTGATCCAATGTCACAACAATGAGATGGGCAACAATCAGCAATTGTTATTAAAATAGATACTGGAAAGAAGCCATACTAGTTGGCTGTTGATCCCAATATGTTGCACCACACAAGCCAAGGAGTTTGGCCACATTCACCCATCACTGCACTCAAGCACTACACCCAGCTCAGAGGAAAATGTGCAAAGACAGTGAACTGCTGTGGACCCAAACAGCATTGTCTGCAATACACACTGATACATGGCTAAGTAATTCAAGAATCTCTGCTCGATGCTTCCTCATATACCACAAACACAGGGTTAGCCTACAAACTTGCTGAAAGAGTTAAGGGGTGGGATTTGGACTATGACAGACTTGCAAAAGCAAGTGATTTCAAACTAAGGAGCAAAAAAAAAAAACCAAAAAACCAGTGACGCAACCAACCATTACCTCATTGACTAACCAGGACTTGTTCCTGTCAGACAAGGAGGGTATAAACTTGCTAAGAAGTTACCATGGAATAAGCAAAAAAACATCAATCGACTGGGTATCAATTAATGCAATAAATGCAAAGCAGTTTACTTGTCTAACATGTTTAAGTTACACAACATTCACTATAAACTAAGAGGGCAAGTAAAAAGCAACTGCTGTTACTGAGTAACTAAAACGCATTCCATTTAAAAGAAACAATGACAACTTCTGTAATTAACACATGCAGTTTGACTTCCCGACCTTTGAGTCGTCCATAGATGCAGTTTTATCATTGGCATTTAACTGGTCCAGTAACACCAGTTTACTGTACTGTTGAGGAGCTGTGCTTACAGGAAAACGAACCTCAAAAGTAGTTCAGCTTTTCCTGATATAGCACCTATGCTAAGGGCTTCTGCCAACATGTCAGTCACAGATCACACACTTAGCCAGTGCATCTATGCCAGAATTCTCAAGTGCAGACACAGCCTGGGGCAAAAAAATGTGAGGCTTCTGCAGCAGGTAAAAGAAAAGCTTGAACTGCATGCAAAATAGTAAGAAGTCTGAATAAAGAACAATGAAGATTTTAGATTCTACATATTTTCAAAGAAAAACCAAAAAAAATCAAGGTCATGTCATCAGAAACAGTGAACAGAGCATCAAATGGATACAAAAGCTGATTTAGTGAAATGCACAAAAAACTCTGAGTCCTAAGTTACATTTATGAGTACAAGAATAGTCACCAGACACACACACACGTAGACCTGTTGGTAGTGCATTCACTATTGACCTATGTGTTTTCTAAGAGACCTTCCTCTTTTGTTTAGACTGTGAAATTAATTACTGGCTCTTATTCACTGTACAAATTTGTATTTGAAATCTGACTGAGTCTAAAAAAATATCCCACCACATTAGAAAGGCAGACCAATACAATGCAAGTAGTTAACAAGCAAAGCATCTGCAATGGTTGTATTTTCAAAGGTCTTATCAATAATATCCATACCTAAAAAAATGTGTGAAAACATGGAATCTACATGGCATCACCACTTTGGATATGAGGAACAGGAAGGCAATCCTCTCCACACACATAAATCAGTCAAGGGAACCTGCAGCCACATTAATTTTCCTGCTGCAGCCATATTTTGGCCAGCTATACAATTATCTCATGTAATCAGGCAAATCTGATACCTTCTTCTACAGCTTTCCTAAGTAACATCTCTCATTTATTTACAGACTAAGCAATGACACTCCTCAAGGAACTCTGGATCACACCACTCAGCCATATACTTATTCTTAGAGTCTTCTAGTAATTTAATTTGTGAAGTAACCTGAAAGAGCTAGACACACAATATTGTAAATCAAGCGCTATGTAAGTGTTTTAAATGTTTTAAGTGCTTGTTTCAACTACAAGTACAGAATGACTATAAACCACTTGATAGTATATACTGCAATTCAGAAATACAATCAAGAAACTCAGAGTTAACATACGAACAGCAAAGTCACTGCAGTTACACAAAGGTCACGAGTAACCTGCAAACCAGAGCTCACACATCCTAAGCACACTGCCATAAATATGCCAGATGCTGTTTGCAGCCACAAGCCAAAGTTACCACAGTAAACAAAGATGAATTTGTCCCCCATACACTCCTCCTTCAGTACTGCTGCCCATGAAGGAACAAAACACTGCATTCAAGTAACTGTCTTCAGGTCCAGCATATGTTTTGCAGCTCTTTTTTTTTTGAGGGTACCTACGCTTCACCAGCTATGGAAGTTGTCACCCCCCTCACCATTCCCATACGTTCCTGCCACTGCCCACCCGCGCACGTAACGCTAATCTTCATCACTGAAATGATCAAGGTTAAAACCAACTTTTTCCAATCTCCTGAAGTTGATTTTTTTCTTTCCTGATCATTTCAGACAGGAAGTTTAAACCACGGTCTGACAGTTCAGAGCACAATTATAGGAGAAGCAAACACAGGAATATCTTAATGGGATTTTCTTACGAAAGCCAATCAGTTTGCCAGATCCACCACTTTAAACATGCTTGTCAATTGTAACCTCACCTCAATAATAACATAACCATCACAGTACATCTGTGACTGTAGATGTGCAGAAAGTGCATCTTAGTGACATTTTTCTACATAGAGATATACAAGAGAATCGTGGACTCAATCTGGACTCCAATCTTCCATGTTGTCCTTTGATTTTTTTATAGACCATTTTATTTGAAAATTCTCAGAATGGTAACTTACAACAGGATAAATGTAAGCTTTGAAAGCATATCTATTTAGGAAAACTCTACTCTGAACTCAGTCACCTAAACTGTATGGCGCTTTTATTTTCACAGAAAATATTTCATTTTAAGGAGATCTTGACTGTGTTCTCTTTCCACTCTACTGTATCCAGCGTCTCAGGCTAACACAAAACATACCACAGATTTCCTTTCCAAAATACTGTTCCTGGAAGCAACTTACTCATTGCTATTCTACCCCTCAGAAACCAAATTACATTCGCCCAACAGCAGCATGTTGTCAGATCCATACTCACCTGGTTACCGTCTACTTCATGACAAGATGCATTCAGTAACGTGCTTTTCCACGTACCAGAACCAAGACTAGAACAAACACACACACTCTGAACAAAGTACTACCAGCCGCAGCAAGACGAGGAGAAAGCTGTGAACGTTAACGCCCGGTTACGAGCTCTCCACGGCTACAGAGGCCGGAACAAAGTCCTCCCAGCCGCAGCAAGACGAGGAGAAAGCTGTGAACGTTAACGCCCGGTTACGAGCTCTCCACGGCTACAGAGGCCGACCTCCCAGGTACTTTACGCTGAGCATAAGAGGATGCCACCCGAGCGCACCCGCTGCAGCGCGGCTCCAGCCCCTTACACGCGTT